TTCACATCCAAATGTATGTTTTGAAAATATGAAACTTGAATTTGTACCTATGTTTAAATACTTAGGAGTTGAAATCAGATCCAAATTAGGTTGGGGTATTTACTTACAAAAACGTATAGCAAAAATAAGAAATATTTACTGTGGACTTTCAAAAATTTACCGCAATATTCCAAGAAGTGATATTAAATCACGACGTTTATTATTTCTTACCTTTGCCCTTCCTCATTTCATATGGGCCTTTATTTTATGGTTCTTTTTTACCGAAAAACAGAAAGAAACAATTGAGCACGTTTACACATCAGGTCTCAGAGCTGTTTATTCTTTATGGGGATGGGATGGTCATACCACCTTAACACTAGCACGAGAAAAAACTCTAACAGATTACGTGTATACATATTGGAAAAAACTAAAGAATCGTCTAGACAATTCTATAGAAGCTACTGCTTTTAACGAAACATTTGAATCATATATGATTATTACTTCACCAGATCGCTTTCGTTTATTCTACAGAAATATGGGCTTTAGGAAAAATAGTAGGTTCCCGGAAAGATTGTGCCATTGGGCTACTCATATGTATTTAGACCTATTTAATTTTTTTATGATCCACGAAAAACAAGTAAACTATTTTCGAACTTCCTCAAAGGAAATAAAAGACTTTATCTGTAGACACTTATTACCACCGTGAAATTATACCATCGAAAACAAAACACGACAAACTACTTAGACTAAATATAACAGTTAGTTCTAGAGGTGTAGATTTCTAAAACTGTTCTCATTGTATAAATTGTTACTCTTCTTCTTTTTTTTTATTCCTTTGTAACTGTACTGTTAATTGTTGTATCAATTGCGTTTCAACTTTGTCTATTTGGATTTTTCTCTTTCTATTCTGTATTTCATCTTCATAAGTGAAAAAAATGGTGTTTTCCACAAATTTTAGCGCGTATGAAAGTATAGGACAAGAAGAAGCAGAGAGTAACCGACTTAGTAGAAAGACTATCCTAAAGATTTCCTTTCCTTTTTTTTCTCTTCTTCATTGATTGTGATTTTCTACTTTAACTATTTACGTTTGTCGGTAACCTTTTTTTTACATTGTATTTCTTCTGTTAACCCTACTAATTGGGAACAATAAACTAAATGAAAAAAAAATTATTTTCTATCGAATCAAATGTAATTTATGAACAATTAATAAGGTACCCAATGTACATAGGGTAGTCAATAAGTTCTTGCACTTTCAAATATTTATTCATAGAAAAAATATTCTGCTAATCTTTTTACAGTAAATGTTCGAAGTAGTCACCACGATGTTCGATACAAAGTTTCATCCTTTCAATCCACTTCTGGAATGTCTTTCGGTATTCTGGAACATGTATTGAATTGAGCTCCTTGGATAACGCTTCAGCCAAACTTGTAGCATCTGGATATGTACCAAGGCTACGTTTCAGACAACTGAATAACCAGAAGTCTGAAGGAGCAAGGTCAGGTAAATATGGTGGATGGGCCATAACTTTGATTTTTTTCTTCTTTAAGATAATTAAAAACAATATCATTCATATGTGGTCTTGCATTATCATGATGCAGCTTCACATAATTTGCTGTTGATAATGGTCTTTTTCTGTATAGGTTTTCGACTAGACTTTTTAAACATTCATCACGATAATATTTGGCATTGATCGATGTTCCAGGAGTTAGATGATGAATAAGTAAAGGTCCATTTGTCATAAAAAATATAATGAACATTGTTTTTTCTTCAAATTGTTGTCTTCTCAGTTCTGTGGGTGGACTTGTTCCTTGTGCTACCCAAGCTTTCGATTCTTGTTTTGATTTAATTTTGCGATGATAAAACCAACTTTCATCACCAGTATCTATATCACATAATTTCCATGCACCACTTTCAATCTTCTGTAAATTTTCGATACAAATATCAACACGACGTTGTCGTTGTGCTGATGTGAGTTTATGAGGTACCCATTTTGACGATACTTTTTTTAATTTAAGGTGTTGTTTGAGAACAGTATCCACACTACCATGTGATATATCTAATATGTCAGCAATATAATCAATACTAATATGTGGATCCTCATTCACCAGGTCTTTAACAGCTTCAATATTTTGTTGAGTAATGACGGATAACGGACAACCACTTCGGGGATCATCGTCTAACGACTCCCGTCCACTTGAAAATCGATGAACCCAATGAGCAACTGTACGATATGCAACAACACCTTGTCCATAAGCAGTAGTTAATTCATCATGAATTTGTGTAGCAGTTAAACCCAATAAAAAACGAGTTTTTATATATGAGCGTAAACACAGTTTATCCATATGAAAATAGGGATGTTCAAAAAAGTTACAAAAAATTTACCATAACAGACACTTATGAAACTTCATACTGGTATTTTAAAACACGATAGATGTTCCTACTAGAATAGGCCAACATAAGGAATAAAACTATTCAGGATGAAATTTTAGACTGCTGTTGCAAGAACTTTTTGACTACCCTATGTATGTAAATTTTATGCCTATCAGCACGTTGATATCAAATTACAAACTCATACGCCATGTATTTGGACAAATTTAGTGCCTCATTTTAATGATGGTGGTAATTGTTTTGGTGAAGTAGCTTGTCACACTGCGGATAGGCTTAATAAAGGTGGAACATTAACAATTGATGATAGTCAACAGTCACTTTATTGATAATTGGTTAATCTTTATATATTTCGTCCACCAATATATTATAAACATGTTCTTCATTTGAAGAACATACCGTTTTTTCCAACGATGCACAACTGTAGGTTACCAACAGTGAAAATAGACTTTTGAATTTTACTGGCGAATTAAGGAATCAATACATGCGGTAGATTTGGTAAAACGCCATATCACAAAAAATGTTTCTATTTTTGACTTCCAGAAACAACTCCTCATCCTTTTATTCGATGCTGCTTTTTCAAGGAAGTATTTTCTATATTGGTCACGTATGTGAAAAACATATGACGTATAAATATTAGAAGACAGGACGATGGAAAATATATTTAAAATTTGTTTCATCAAACACATCAACTAAGACAGATTCGGAAACAAATAACAT